TTGGGGCTCTTTATAGATGTTGGTATATTTCTAGGGCAAGAAGGCAGCATCTGCAGCAGCAGCAGCAGCAACTGCAGCAGCAGCAGCAGCAGCAGCAACGCCTCCTGCTGCAGCAGCAACAGCAGAATGGCAGGCTGCTGCCAGCAGCGCCGCATCTAAAAGACAAATCGCAGCAGCAAACAGACACAGCAGCAGCAGCAGACAGAGCCTCTATCATGCAGTCTTCGCCAGCAGCAGCAGCAGCAACAGCAGCAGCAACAGCTGCTGCTGCTGCTGCTGCTGCTCCTGATGCTCGTGCTGCTCCTGCAGCGCCAGCAGCCGCGGCGCCGACCCCAGTACCAAGGGGAGGGGCAGCCGCAGAAGCTGCTGTTGCTGCTGCAGCTCTTCCTGCTGCTGCTGCAGCAGCAGCAGCAGCAGCGGAGACAGAGGGAACAGATATGCAGCGCGATAGTCGCAGCGTTGCTGCTGCTGCTGCGGATGCCGCAGGCGCTGCTGCTGGCAGGAAGCTGCTCTCTGTAGAAGAGCAGCAGAAGCAGCAGCAGCAGCAGCAGCAGCAGCAGCAGCAGGTGCAGGTACAGAGGGATATCGAGAAGAGGGAAGAGACAACGCAGCAGCAGCAGCAGCAGCAGCAGCAGCAGCAGCAGCAGCTGTTTATGTCTTCCCGTGTCTGTTTGTCTGGAGAGGTTGCAGGTGTTAAGAGCCCTTCGTCTATAAAGAAGGAAGCAGCAGCAGCAGCAGCAGCAGCAGCAGCAGCAACAGAGACTAGGCTAGGCAACGCAGCGTCTCACGCTGCAGCTGCTGGCTCCGGATCAGCTGCAGCAGCAGCAGCAGCAGCAGCAGCAGCAGCAGGTGGCAGCTCTGTGCGTCAGGTTGTGGGGGGCGGTGTTGATGCGGAGACAGCTGCTGCCCCCTCGTCGCTGTCTTCTGTCTCCTCTCCCTCTCTCTCTTCTTCTGCTGCTGCTGCTGCTGGCTCCGTAGCAGGCCTCCGCGCTGCTGCAGCAGCAGCAGGAGCAGCAACAGCAGCAGCAGCAGGAGCAGCAGCAGGAGCATCAGCCTCCCCGTCTTCTCCCGCACCATCATCATCAGCAGCGTCCCTCTCCCCGCCAACACCCCCCTCAGCAGCAACAGCAGCAGCAACAACAGCAGCAACAACAGCAGCAGCAGCAGCAGCAGCAGCAGGATCTGCATCGTCTTCATCATCGCCCCCAGCCCCGCCGCCCTCTCCCTCGCCGCCCTCTCCGCGTCC